TGCAGCTCTAGCTAATGGTAATGTTGATGGTGCGTGTGTGTAGTGCTCTAACAGAGTGTATTTGTTCTTTTGACCACCAGGAGGCGCTCTGTGATGAAGATCTGTCCACTGTAGACCTGAAAGACCCTAACCGGCCGCGCTTCACCCTGCAGGAGCTGCGGGACGTCCTGCACGAACGCAATGAACTCAAAGCCAAAGTCTTCATGCTGCAGGAGGAGATCGCCTACTACAGGAGGTAATGCATACATGACGTTTATTAAATATACACAGGGATGCAGCGATTACAGTCACAGCTATTATGATTATTGTACAGTCATTATTATCTAATTTTGATCACAATGTATAGTTAAAGTTTTTCTGAATTTAATCTGACTTTTTGAGCTGCCGAAGATATTGTCAGCATAGACTAAGAGGATTATAGATGTGGAGATTTAGATGAACAGAGACAGGAGCGACATAGACTGACAGAAGCATCAAGCACACACACTCACACTGAAGCACACACACACAGCTGACCAGCACTCACAACACACACTCTGCTGTTTACATCTGTCACTATGGGGACACACAGCTGTAGCTCCGCCCTTTTTTTGAATCTCATTTGAATTTAAAGAGACAGTCACCAAAACGCCACAATTAGGATTAAAGCCTAAAAACAATGACTGTAAAAAAATATGGACTCGACAGCCCTTTTTCCCATTGAACGCCTTGAGGGCAAAACGCCTGCTTGACGGGCACAAACTGTCGCAAAAGACTGCTGAAATTGGAGCCAGACATGCGCAGAAGGATTGTCTGATGGAGCCAGAGGAGGAGCCGCGAAAATGAGCGGAGTCGAGCTTCCAATCAAACGCTTTATGTAAAATCAACTACGCCCCCCGAACTGCTCAGCATGCGTTTGCTGTCATATCAACACAAATGGATGTAATAACGTTAACAAATATGAGGGTTTTATATATTCAATCGCGCCAGCTCCAGGCCGCAGCGCATAACTTACTCGCGGCGTCGCGGGCTGATTCCGGCTCGCATGCGGCAGCGCCTGCTCGCTCGGCCGCCGCATCTGGCTCGATTGACTCGGGCTGGAATTGGGCAGTGAGTCCAGGCATCCGGAGTAGGTCCAGCAGAGGTAACATTAGTCAGTCTGAGCTCTAAGAGATAAGTCTCCGGCAGGCGAGAATCTAGCCGGAACTGTGTTTTGCTATCTGGGTGGCTAGGCGTGTATCAGCAAACTAATAAAGCCCGAAAAAAGCCCTGAACTTAGCGAATAAACAGTGTTCCACCAGGATCATGTATGTCAGAAACTGTAGTTTACTGCTGAACTCATTTTGTCATGGAAAAATAACACAGAAATCCAATAATAACATTTCAGTCTACTTCAGTCTCCTGCCGAAGCTCAAAACCCCTGCTTTGAGAAACTGTCA